TCTCATTTCGCTCCGCCTTCCGACAACTCTGAGAGGAAGCTCCTAACCCCACAGAGAAAACCAAGGCCTGGCGCAGAGGGGGACTGGGAAAGGCTGGGGAGTAGCTGTTTGGACAGGACACCGCCGTCCCTTGGGGTCCCCAGGCCTGGGCTTGGAACACAGCTTCCTGTGGAGGGCTCTGACTTTGGACGGAAAGTCTACGGTGCGGCGGGGCTGCATTCTAACCGAGCCCCTCCTTGGCAGAGCCCCTCCGAAGGCTGTTAAAGCAGCTTTGACACGGGCCCAGCACATTCTTCCTTTTATAAGGAAAAAACTAGCTGATACCCTGACCACAGCGCTTTTAGGGCCTTCTCTCCCCCACTGCCCCCCACCGCGACTTAAAAATGTACATTGTGAAAACTGGAAACTCCTTTGTCTGAAAACTGGAGACTCCCTCCTTTTCTGAAATTAACTTCAACAGCTGAACAGTGCAACATTGAGTTAGGGTTTTTAACAGTGACATCTTGTGGCCACTTTTGAGAAGTGCAAGACCAAACCCACAAGACAGACCTGGGTGCTTCCAGGAGACCAGGTGCTCCGTCAGGCCCACTGTCCTGGGCCCTCAGCCGGGCCCTGGGCTCCGCGCCCTGCCTCCGTCCATCTCCGTCCCGTGGCTGGCCCTGCCCCCTCTCACCTGGGCCTATGTGCCCACCTGTGAAACGAGTGGGGGGGCCGGGGAGCTCCGACACCCCCATCTGTCCCTGCCTCCCAGGCAGGGAAAGGAGAGGCGGCACCGCCGTCTTCCGTGGCGCAGGCCTTGACGTGCTTATTGGACCCAGAGCTCCTCCTTTCGCGTGTGGCGGTTCAAACCTGTTTTCCTGATGCCCCTCGCTGCTCGCCTGCGGCCTTCTCCTCCACGGGGAACACGACTGTCCGAGTTACGCCCGGCCTCCCCTGAGGGCTTCAACGAGCGATTCGGCCAGGATCTCTTTAGGCCGAATTTCCACGAGAACTCCATTGATACAGAATGATCATCCAATCTAGGAACGGGTCTACGTGGGTATGCTCGAACATAAAGCAGCTGCGCTCCTTTTAAAAAGCTCCGGGCGATATCAGGGGCGGGTGAGTGAACTCATGGAAAAAGCGACGTTTCTACTGCTTCTGCCTTTGGTTAGGGATGAGTAGAAAGACGTCAATTCATCTGCTAGAGCCCGCCAAGCGGACTGCCAGCTCTGCTCTCGCTGCAGCCAAGCCTGTGGAGTTGCTCACCAACCACGACTGCGCCTGCGGACGCAGCAGCGGCCCTGCCTTCCTCCCTCTCCCCAGGCCTCTCCTGCTCAAAACGGCAGGCTCCGCACGGCCGGCGGGACCCGGCACAGGCTCCACTCTCCCTGGCCTTTCCGGTCCACCGGCGAACCTCCCTCCTGACTCTCTTAGTCAATGCTGCAAAGTCAACTTCTTGACAAGCTTCTCAAACATTCTGCATTTCCCCAAGTCAGTGGCTGCGGCTTAAGTTTCTGGGTTTGTTTTTTTTTTTTTTGCTTTGTTTTTCTTTAACAACAGGAACAACCTCTGCACCTCTGAAGCATTACCTCTCCTACCCTGACCTGAAGGCAGGGACCTATCTGCTCCTCCCTAGATCCCGAGAGCCTGGCTCAGCACCTGGTATGAAGGAGTCAGTGAGCAGGGCTGGGTTCAGCGGAGAGCGCAAAGGTGCGCTCTGCGGGGGGAGAGGAGGGGTCCGACCCCAGGTGCGGGCCTGGTGTGGGGATGGAGACAAACTGCCTCTGGGCTTGGACACCCACCTACTAACCCCCCACAGGGGCAGAGGGAAGTAGGGAGGCGCGTGCACACACAGGTGGCCTGCTCTCCTGTCGCAGCACAGCACAGACCTCCGGAAGCCCACAAGGGACGCTGTTCTCCCGCCTTCACAGGTGCTGCGCGGGTTCTCAGCCACCTCCCGGCCAGGAGCGGCCCATCCTGGCCTCCAGCCTGGCTGGACAACTCCGTGCTTGCCGGCAGGAAGTGAAAGGTGCTACTCAACGCTGAGGCTCTACCTGCCACCAGTGATCACTCGGCTGGGTTTTTGGCGGGGCCGACCAGCCCCGTGGGTGGCTGGACTGCACCCAGGAAGGCCGTGCAGCTGGGCCGCAACTAATCCCCAGGGCAACAGCCCCCGGGGCCTGGCATCCCAGGCAGCCTCCCCCGCTTCCCTGCACAGTGGCTCCTGTGTTCGGAGTCTCAGGGATGGGCCCACGCCCCAGAAGGGGCCGTCGACCTTCCGCACCTCTCCAGGGCTTCCCTCTCTCCCTTCCTCTCCCCCCCCCCCCGCCCCAGGCCCCTCCCCTCCCGTCCTGTCCAGGTCCCCTGACACTACCTCAGGGCACAAGCTCATCATCTCTCTCCCCGGACCCCCCTCCCTCCCTGTGGCTCCCACAGCAATCTTCCTCCCGCACAGTCACCCTACTTTCCTCCTCAAACTTTCAAAAGCTACCGTCACCTTCAAGATAAAATTCAAATTCAATACCTTGGTACACATGGCCGAGAGCGATATCCAGAACAGCTAATAATTTGCACAGTTTTTCCAGAATATCACTGGGTACCAACCTATCAAAAGAAACTCGGGCCAGGGTCCTGAGCTGGATCAGGGTCCTGCAGGCCCCCCAAGGGGCCAGGCATTTACTCGTTCGTTTCCCGGTTGTAGGGAAGTCCAGGGGTCCCTCCGGGGAGGTGTGGAAGGGGCATCTTGGGGACTAGGGTCCGGAGCTCTTTCCCGCCCGGGAGGAAGGCATCGGTCGCCCTGTTTCCCACCGTGCAGCCCGGCTGGGTGCCCCCACTGACGGTCAGCTCTGTGCACAGCCTGTTGCAGACCCAGACCTTCCAAGCCCCCGCCTCTCCAAAGGCTGCGCTTGAGGGACACGCAGGGGCCTCCCCTGCCCGGAAAAGTGTTCTCTGTGCCATCGCTCAGCACCGTCGAAGGACAGCCACCCCCACCCCGGGCTCGGTGGTCGCCGCACCGTCCCACGGGGCGCTGACTGCGGCCGCGGCACGCCGTCACGCTGGTGGCTGCTCCTTGTCTCTCAGGGCCGGGCCTGTGCCTGGTGTCCCACCACCCCCATCCCCAGCCAGAGAGCCGGCGCGCGGTCACCCATCGGTAAAAGTTTGTCCAAGTGAGGGCTGGGGCGCCCGTGTCCCTGACTCAGGGACTCGGCAGCATTTTCCACACAACCAGCAGCATCCACAGCTCACAGGGGCCTCCCGTGGGTCAGCGTGCGCCCTTCCCAGTGAGGCTGGAGCGCACACTCACACACACAGACCCTCACGCCCGTGTCCCACATGTGACCACAGAGGTCGTTCTCGGGCCCATCAAACTCGCGCACGCGGACACTGACACTCGACCCGCCGAGAGCACAGCCACGCCCCTGAGAGGGCGGCACGATGGCGCGCACAGCCGCCGTCAGCGCCCCGTCCCAGCTCCAGGGGCTGCCGCGTGCCCCGCGCTGGAGGCCACCGCTCGGGCCGGGCCGGCCTGCAGTGTGTGGGGCCACACGGTGGCCTTGTCCTGGAGGACCAGCCTGCCCAAAAGGCCAGGTTCCCACCAATACGCAGGCCAGATGCAAACACAAACCATCAATATGCCGCGGTACCCAGAAGCTGCCTTGGAGACAGCACGAATTCTACACTCTACGGAAAAAATAAAAATAGAAAAGGAAAACACCCTCTAGGATGGCAAATACAGGTCTGGGGGACACTGAGCAACGTCCAGAGACGCTTTTGGTTGTCACAGACAGGGGTGCTACTGCCCCCCGCAGCTGGGTGACAGAGATGCTGCGGACAGCTCCCAACATGCAGGGCGGCCGCCCCAGCAGGGAACTGCCCGGCCCACAAAGCCGAGCACACGCCAAGGCCAGGACACTGCGGCTTGGAAGAGGGCCTGGCAGGCCTGCCTGGTCCTGCCCAGTGCTGCTACGTGAGCGTGTGTGACCATGGGCCATCGCCTGACTCCACGGGCCAGGGTGGGGCCCCCGAGGAAAGTCTTCCTGACCCCTCTTCCTCCTCCACCTCCCAACGCCGCGGCTCTCAACCCTGGCTGCACGGCAGAGCTGCCCAGCGCCCAGGCCGCGCCCCGGAGCAGCGGGCCAGGACCTCCGCAGGTACACGCCCTGCCCCGCCAAGGACGGAGCCGCCGCCCTGCGCGCTGCAGCGCTGAAGGCCGACGCCTGTCTCCCTGAAGAGGGTCAGTCCAGGGCCGTGGGGCTGCATCTGTTCGGAGTCACCCACACCGCCTCTGGCTGCCTCTCCGTGTATTTATGGGTGAACCAGCCTTAGGGCTCACCTTCGCCTGCGGGGCGGGGGTCTCGTCCTCCCATTGGGACACCTTACCTACCACAGGCTGCCCACAGAGGAGGAGCAGATGGGCAGATATCAGGAAGGATACATGTGTGCTCTGTCAGAAACCTTCTGACCAAATGGCTGCTGCTACTAATGTGCCAGTTTCAGAGACTGGGTAGTAACAAAGAGACTCGGCAGTGTAAAAACCATCACAAAATAACATGTGACTGCCCAGGGAGAGATCCTGACCCCTCTAAGGCAGAGGCAGCAACAGAAACTCAAGGGGGAATCGCCGAGCTGTGAGGCAGGGCCGCAGCTCCCAGCGACACACCGGTGAGTCCTCCGAACCTGTGCTGAGCGGGGAGAGACGTGGGGCCACGGCTCAGAGCGGCCCCAGAGCTTTATTACACACACACGCCACCCCAGGAAGTGCACGGTCCTGCGGACGCCGCTGCCGCACAGCCCCTGCGCAGAGGAAGCTGAGGGCTTCGGAATTTTGTCATCAGCAAAAGAATTCACCTGTCGCTTTCATTTACCATTTCCAAGCTATCCCCAGAAAAAAACCCCACTGATGTTTTGTGTCCTAGGTGCCCCCGACCCTCCACCACTGTCAATAGCCTTCTTTCAATGCAGTGTCAGGGAGCTCCGTGCCTCAGAAACAGCGCAAGGCACGACCGAGGCTGTTGGTGTCAAGAAGCCACACTGGGCGAGAGCACACCTGGCGTGTCGCTGGGCCCCGGGCCGGCCGCCTGCTCCAGCGCACGGGTGTCCTCCACGGGCGGCCTGCGCATGTCCGGCACGGGGCACGAGCCCTTCCGGGGGCTCCCCGTCACCAGCATCCAGTGGTTCCGGGGCTTTTCCACCCGGTGTGAGTCCAGGTGCGTGTGAGCAGCGACCTCGGCTTCCTTTCCGAAGTAGGTCCTGGGTGGAGAGAACGCACGCTGGATGCAGACGCAGCTCTCGGGACGCTGGTCGCGCGCACTCGGGAGCCCCTCGCCGGGCTGGCGGCTACAGAGAGCACGGCTGTGGGCTGTGGGCCGGGAGGCCGCCCCGTCGGGGCCAGGCCGCGGGGGCGGGGCCCTCTCGTGGGCAGGGACTTGGGTCACCGAAGGGGCTCTGGTAGGGTCTCTCGGGCCAGCAGAGTTCTATGGGACAGTATTTCGTCATCGAAGGACTGTTCCGTGTGTTGCCGCCCTGTGAATGGAGCTTCTCTGCCCACTTTCCCAGCACCCCCTCCTCCAGAATGGCGTTTCGCGGTGCCTGCGACACGGTACCTGAGGAAGAGATGCCGGTGAGCCGCCAGCCCCCGGTTCGTGTGGCAGTGGTTGATGAGAATTTTGGTATTTGCCTTTAAAAATAAGAAAGAGTGTTATTTGCATTATTAGTTAAGGACTCCAATTTCCTAAAAGCAAAAATCTGTGAATGCAGTGCTTACCCACTTAAATTTACTTAACATAAAGATACGTATATATGGAATAACCTAGAAGGCAAACCGTGAGAGACTGATGGAATGCATTACTGTAGACACACATACGATGGAGCATCATGCCAGCATCCAAAGTTTTCTTGGAGACGGTCTTTGACAACATGAGATATGGTCGCTGGTGTCACAATGCAGGTAAAACGAGAACAGTCCTGATTTTAACCCTCACAAACCCTCCTAAGGCATATATCATCGTCATCCCCATTCCACATATGAGGAAACTGAGATTCCAACAAGTTAACTCATGCAAATACAAGGCAGTTCCACCAAGAGCAAAGCTGGGCAAGGCCGAGCGGAGCAGGGGAATGCGAGGTGTGCATCGCTGTGGCCGTGAGTGTGCCGGCCATGCCGAAGACAGGACCTTGTGAGCGGGGTCCGGGGTAGAGGTCGGGGAGAAGCATGCTGCGTTTGGCGGCTTCAGAGTGACCTGTGACGGGGAGGGGGACAGCCACCTCAGAGGGCCCACCCTCTGTAACTGCACACTCTCCGATGACTTCTAATTCCTCCGCCCTCGTGACGCCTCCAGCCCTGGGCACAACTCCGTGCCCACCAGGCTCTCCTCAGGCCCGCAGCTCGGTCCCGCCCTACAGGCCCAGGGGCCCGAGAAGGCGCCCGGCAGTGAGAACAGGAAGACGCTGCCTGTGGGACCCCCGTGTTCACCTGCATGGAGGCCCCACTGTCCCTTCGCTTGTCCAAGATCTCCCAGTGTCTTTAGGAACGAGACTATAACAGAGGCCTGGAAGGACGCAGTGTCAGCGTCCGCACCGCCTCTGGTCGGGGTTCTCAGGCCAGTCCCAGGGCCAGGGCCTGGGCCTCAGCATGTTCACAAAGGTCTGTAGGTGACTGACTCTAAAGTACAGAGTTGAGAAACATCAACGCAGAAGGCAGCCACAGGGCAAGGTGGGGCCCTCCAAGCTCAAGAGAGAAACGAGGGGAAAAGAGAGCGAGCGAAACCGTAGGCACATAAGGTCCTGGAGCCCCGACGAGCCCGTCTCACAGACGGCCGCAGCGCCTCCCCCTCACAGGTCGCGCACCCCTGCCCTCCCGGCCGCTCACTGGGACAGGGAAGCCTTCGTGCTCCAGGCGTAGCTGGGGGTCGGAGAAGGCCGCCTGCCAGCAGTTCCGGTAGGAGACTTCATCGGTCAGGTACACCTCCTGGAGCCAGGACCTCTTAGATGACTTCAGCAGGGTCCTGTGGTCACTTGTTAAATACAACTGAAAAGGACAGCAAGCAGGTGAATACGTTACCCTACTCAAAAACCTGGGAAATATGACGCCATCAATGGCTGATGACAGGCGTGCTGAGAAGCGATTTTCCAAGTCCCTGTTGCCAACGACCACGAGAGAGGGTTCCCTTTCCTCTCCCTGAGAAACGCCCCCTCAGACTCCATGCTGCCTCACTGCTGCTCCTGCCTCGGGGTGCTGGACTCCTCGGCCTCGCCGCGCTCATTCCCGTCCCTAATCCTCTCCGCTTTCTCAGGGCACAGGGCCTACCTCAGTGTTTATTTATAATGCAAAAAATGTTGTATGTCTGGAGAAATAAATGAGTTCATATACACGAAGTGCCTAAGCACATATTAAGGTGTAATAACCCCCATTTTATAGATGAGAAAGACTCAAAAAGGTTAAATAACTTACTGAAGTCCCACCCCATGGCTTTGCACCTCAGCCGGGGCTCAAGCCCAAGCTTATCTGGCTCTGTTTCACCCCTCATCTCCTGGACAGAGGTAAAGGTGGACAGCCTATGCAATGTATGCAAACTTGAGCATCTCACATTGTCCTTCTCTAATGAGACAGAAGTTTTGACACTAAAAAGTCGAACAATGTTGTCGGATCTAGCACGGGTGGTGTTAAACAGCTATCATACCATTATTATATAATCTGACCATTCACCTCACAGGTGAAGGTGGTATAAATTTTTACTTCTTTCCAGCTGCCTTGAAAGTAAGGCTTTCTCCGTTTTAAGGATATATTTTTGAAATTTTCGAAGTTAGAAGGGATGGGCCCAAGTCGCCGGTGAAGAGCTGTGAGGTGGAGCGCGCGCCTGCAGGGCTCTCTGTCCACGTCCGCAGGCAGCCATGAGCCCACACGGGACAGAACGGCCGGTCCCAAGTAGACACGCAACGTGACGACTCACCATTTTGTCTTCGAATCCCCCTGTGGTCCCGAGGCGGAAGTTCTGCCCGTATCTGAGGACCTCGCCGGTGGCCACTGTGTCTGCGCTGTCCGTGAAGAGGACGTCCAATGTCATTTCTCTGAGTAAGAATCCTTCCACGGCTCTATTTTTTGCATGCACAATTTTGTTTATAATTTCCTTGATAAAGTATATTCGTGTACCGTGCCTGAATCACCTCACTAAACAGAAGGTCTTTCTCTTGGTCTTCAAGCCCAGCCAGCGCCCCTGCCCCCTGCCTTCCAGCACCACCAGCACACAGAGCGCCCCACGTGGGCAGCCTCGAGTGCACTGGGCACATCACCGTGCCCTGCACCGAGGGGCTGGGACAGGGCACTCATGTCTTCAGAGAGAACCAAGGTACACCTTTTGTAGAAATGTAATACAATCTTTCCTCTTAACCCTCCAGGAAACAGAAGCTGTCTTCCTGTAAATTACCTGTATTCAAAATAAGTCTAAATTAAAGACTTAGGGGACTTGCCCTGGCTGGTGCGGCTCAGTGGATTGAGTGCCGGCCTGCAAACCAGAGGGTCCCCAGTTCAATTCCCTGTCAGGGCACGTGTCTGGGTTGTGGGCCGGGTCCCCAGCGGGGGGCGTGCAAGAGGCAACCACACATTGATGTTTTTCTCTCTCTCTTCCCCTCTAAAAATACACACACACAATTTTTTTTAAAAAATAAAGATGTAGAGGACTGGCTATATTCCTGTAATATAAAAATGGCTATCACAATTTAGTAGCTGAGTGAAAGCAATGTTTTTAATTGTAATTTTCAAAATCTCCTCAAGTACATTTATAGTGAACAATGAATTTTTAAATAGCAAATCCCTATGTTATGCCACTTCACATTAAATGATATATTTCTGGTGTAAAAATAACTGGGCAACATTAAAAACGCTGATGTGTCACTACGGAAACCCACTGCGCTTCTATACAGAGTATGAACTTAGTTCCCTGGACCCAATGCCTTTGAATTAAGCATTTTGAATTGAACACAAATTACAAATTCCTGCTCTTTACACTAAAGGGAAGGTAAAGGCTTCTTGACAATAATTCCCAGGGTAATAAAGCAAGAGGGCTCACAGAACTTCTGCTTCCCATTGGCCCTGCTCCCATCCCAGGACATCCTTCAGCTACAAGTGAAAATGGACATTTATGATAAAACTTAAAATATCTTCACCTCAAAATGATAAAAGTGTTTCTGCCAACTGGGATCTTGGTGGGTGCTGCGCTCAGGCCACAGGGCCCCTTGAATGTGTCACTCAGATGGGCTCTGATCTCGTCTAGTGTCAAACACAGGCTCAGGTCCCCGCTGAGAAACAGGTCGGCTTCTGCCTCAGGATGGTCCGGGTTTACGAGCATCACGCTGTCGCCGTTGTGAACATATCCATCCTCAGACACGGAAAGCTGCATCTACAGTGGAAACCGGAGTGTCCCACTGAAACCGCGTGATTCCTGCACGGCCAGGGCCCAGGCCGTCACAGAGGGACCCCCTTCCTTCTCAGGCTGCGGCCATCTCAACACAGGGTCCACTCGGCTCCCTCGAGCCCTGTCCTTCCTTTTCCTGCCACCAACCTGCTCCCAATGTGCCGAATGGAAGCCCCAGTACCCCAAATGAAGTACACTGAGACTGATGCAAACATTACGTGGGTTGAGTCCATTGTTAATTATTCAACATTCACTGAAAATGTCTTCAGAGCCAACTAAGGGGCATTTCATTTTACTAATCCATGTATTAATGTAGTTATTTCTTAATGCAGCTTAACATAATTAACAGCAAACTGCTCTTATGTTTCTGAAATCCTAGAGAATTTTAAACATTGTAGTTTTCCAATCTAAAGAGAAAAACTGGTATTTCCAAACACTAACTCATTTACAGAATTCTCACTTGCTTAATGTACTCACACTCGATTTAACAGAATTTTGAAAACAGTATTTGAATTTAAAATTACTGGTCTCAGAAGGTTCTCTTTCAGTCTTCTGTTTCTCTGTATAAGAAGCTGCCCCTTATCCCTCTTCTCTAAGAAGTCTTTCATGAGCTCCTGGTAAAAAACAAACAAACAAAAACACCAATGAAACACAAAGAGCCAACAACAGTCCTGCATAACACAGATACTGGTACCCTTTAGGTCAAAAGCACCTAAAACGGAAAAGCAAAATTTGAGACCAGAGAAAGAAATGTGAGCATCATGCAAATGGTGAAAATTTTTGTAGTATTACTTTAATATTTTTATATCATTGTACAGTGTTTAGAAAAATGACAAAGACACAAAAAGGAAGCATCACCTGTAATAGCCCCAGCTAGCAACAGTCCTGAGTAACACCTGGAGGCCATGCGTCCCCCCTAAGGTCCCCCTGGTGGTATGATGATCGGCATGAAAGTCCCTCCCCCACCAAGTCTGCCACACAAGGCCCAGGGCCTCGTCAAGCCACCCCGGGAGAACCCAAGGCGGTGAGTGGCAGGTCGGCAACCGGGACACCACAGGGACATTCAGGACAGCGTGTATGACAGGGCGGGGGGGGGGGGGCAGTATTTCTGCTTAGAGCCGCCTCCTCACCCTCCTCGCCTGGACTGCAGCCCCTGGACTCCAAGTCTCTAGGGAACAAGGGGGAAGGAACCCGGAGGGGCTCTAGACTTGGGGGGAGGCACAGTGCCAGTGCGAAGGCTGGGGACGGGGCGCGGGGGTCGGGGGGACGGTGCTTGAAGTCAAGGTACTGAGTCTGGGAGGCCAAGGGGCCTAAGGAGTGAGTAGAAGAGCGGAGCCCCGGGTTCGTGAGACCTCAGGCGATTCCCGGATGGTCGCGAGGGGCACTGGAGATCCCTGTGCTCCGGGAGAAGGGAGCCTTGGGGCGCTCAAGGCCGGCCCCCTTAGGCTGGGCCTGGAGGTCCCTGCGCAGCAGGGGCGCCGCCCGGCCACATCCTCACCTCTTCCAGGTAGATGTCCTCATTCCAGTTGCCCATCCGGACCCCGGGGCCGTACGAGTTCTGCGCCATGCCCTTCCCGGGAGGCCGCTGTTAGCGTGCCCGTCGCCAGGACGACCCGGCCCCCTGCGATTGGACGAGGCCCGCGCCCTGCCAGCCAATGAGAGGCAGCACAGGAGTTGCGCAGGCCCCACCCGGGAGCCGTCACTCCCCGCACCCACCGCGCCGCCGCCGCTCAGGGGGAAAGCGGCCGAGAGGGCACTCGGGGCCCTGCAGACCTCGCTGCCGCGGACGCTCTCCGGAGAGCGACGGGAGACTGGTTTTCCCTCAGACGCCCAAGGAAAGCCGCTGGACCGGGAGAGGGCCGCCTCCGCGGCAGGGCTGCGGAGGCGCTTTCCCGTGAAGGCGTGGCTCGTTTGCGGCCTATTTTTATAACCGGCAGCAGCACCCAGGTCACCCTAACAGCAGAATAATAAGGGCTCAGTGTGAAGGCCGAAATAGTCTAGGAGGCGGGGCGGGGGGGGAGAAAGAACGACTCGGACTGCCGCTGCCCCAGAAGAAGGGAACACACCGCGCTGGCCTGTTCGCCCGCTGCCGCTCCCGTGTTTGGGGGGGCTCGTGTTTCCACGGGCTCCACGCACTGTCCCGATCGACTCCACTCTCCGCGCGCACGGGCGAGCCTGTGCGCTGAAAGAACTGGAGATAAGACCGGGATCTGCGGGAGCCAACCTTCGTTAAAATGTGATTTTATGAGGAGGAGGATGAGCAGCTGCCGCAGCGGACCCGGAGCTTGGCGGGCGCCGAGTGCTGCGCTGTCTACCCAGGACGAGACCGGCAGACACGGGGGCTCCTCTGAGCCATGGACGCAGGCCTTGCAGGAAGACAGGGCAGTGGCAAAAGTGCAGTTAGAGGCGCGCCGGGGGCTGAAAGGCCGATGCCTTTCCGGCCCGGGGCTGTGAGAAGGCGAGTCCAGAGCGGGGCAGGCGGTGACTCGGGAGGGACCGGCGCGGACACTCTCACGCTGTGAGCTCTGGGCCCAGCAGCGCCGCATTCTGGGACACGCTGAAAGGATGCGGGGAAAAGAAGGAAGATCGGATACTGTGCTCCGAACTGCATTTGATAAATCAAGAAACTGAGGCTCAACGATGCTAGCGGCTTATCCAACTTTAAATTGTCAGCGAAGGACTCAAACCCTGATTTTCTGATTCCAGAGTTCAGGATTTTTGTTTCTTTAAGTGTTTCTACAGTCCCTAAAAAATCAGAAATACAATAATTTGGTCTCATATGACTTAATAAGGTTCTAATAATTTGGTTATTTGATAATTTTTTTTACACCAATACAGCTTTGCTCTCACCTAATTCCTCTGTGCTATTACGTCAGGTTTATTACATTCCTGTATGTTATGGGCCCAATCATACAATTACATACCTATTATTTTATGCAATTGTTTTCATATCAGGAGAAAAATATGCAATGATAGTCTGTTGTAATTACATGCATAATTATCTTTGCTGGGGCTCTTTGCTTTTTATGTGCGTACCCATTAAAGCCCAGTGCTACCTGCCTTCAGCCTGAAGAAGCTCTTTTGGTTTTCTTGTAAAGCGAGTCCACTAGCAACACCTTCTCTTGGTGTTTACTTACCTGCTTACTTATTTCACCTTCGTTTTTTTAAGACAGTTTTACTGGGTATTAAGATTTTTGGTTTTTCTTTCCACGTGTTAAACATGCCATCCTCCCGCCCTCTGGCTTCCACGTCTCTAATGAGAATTCAACTCTCCGTCTCACTGGGGTTCCCCTGGTCTGCCTGCGAGGTGTCTCGTACAGGCTCTTGCTTTTGTCTTTCTGCATCTGTCTTTCATCATCTTGACTGTGGTCTGGGAGACGATCTCTGTGCGTTGAGTCTACTCGGAATCTGTTCCGCTTCTCATTAGTGTAGACTAATGGTTTTATTGTCTTCAAATTTGGGATTAGCCATTATTTCTTTGAATATGTGTTTGCTCCTCTCCATCTTTCCTCTCCTCCTGAGACTCCGATTACATGTACGTTAGTATAGTTAATGGTGTCCTCATTTCTCTAAAGCCGGATTCATTCTTCTTCCTTTTTTCCCTCTGGTCTTCAAATTGCATGATTTCTATTGATTTCTCTTCAAATTTGAGCAAATTTCTTCTTCTGCCAAGTCCAATCGACTACTCCATCGGTCTAGTAAGTTTTTCATTTTGGTTATGATACTTTTCCACCCCAGAATTTCCCCCGGGCTCTTTTATCATTTTGTTATTGATTTCCTATACTTGCTGAGACATTGTCATCATATCTTCCTTAAATTCTTTAATCATGGTTTCCCTTAGTTCTTTGAACATACTTATAATCATTGCTTTGAAGTCTTTGTCTGCTAAGTTCAACATTTGGGCCCTTCTCAAAGCCTATCTTTTCCTCTGTATAAGGGTCACATTTTCCTGTTTCTTTGCAGGTCTTACCATTTTTTTTTTGAAAACTGAACTTCTTAGATGATATATTGTACTGACTGTGTATATGGGCTCCCCACCCCCGATGCCTGTTGTTATTTGCTCGTTTGCTTAGGTATCTGTTTAGTGACCTTGGCTGAACTAGTTAAGCGAGGCCTGCCCCCCTGCCGGCGCAGCCCTCTGGCATCACCGTTCACGGGTGAGGCAGTGAGTGTGCACAGGGCCCCCCGAACCCTAAATGAATCTTATGATAAACAGAGTAACGTAGGGAAGGATCTCACAACAACACAGGTGGATTTAAAATCCAGGTGATAATGACAAAACTATGAACAAATATTTAGGGAGTTGTTTTAAAGCATATTTTACTAATTATTACTTTTATTTTTGAAAAAAATCATAAAATGGTTTTTTATTATAATTACAGAAAATTTTAAGTTTACATTCCTCAGAAACCCTCCAAGCTACGATGAAAACAGAAATGCACTCACATGTTGCAGGTCACTAAGTAATTGACTCAGTTCTTATTTAGCAAGAAAGATCTTAAAATCAGGCCACCAATCCCTTCCCTGTGTAGTTATGATTTTTACATAAACCAGGTATGTATCAGAAAGTTTCCTTGCTTTTTTTCATGATTTCATGAGGCTCTTGGAAAAGTTTAACTGGAGCCCTTTGTTACTTACTTGTGAAATATCTGGCAGGAAAAGCCAAAGAAATACTTGGACAGAATCATTTTTAGAAAAGAGAAGTGGGACGAAGTTCAGATATTGGGAAAGAGAAATGAGAGTTATTAACCTTAGAAGCAAGTAACTTCCAGGGTTCTGAAAATAAGTTTTTAAGTCCTCGGTGGATGACAAACGTGGTAAGTCATCACAGTGCAGTAAAGAAGAAAGAAAACAGGATTGGAGACCCTCCCCCTCAGCCTGGGCCAGCGCTGCTGTCTCCGAGCCTCAGCATCTCCCCTGATAAAAAGGGGGTAAGGAGCACTCTACTGACAACTCTTTAGGAAGCATTTCCAAAATGGCCTGTAGCGCATTAATCAACACAGAGAGGGAAAGAGTTCCATTGTCAATACGTCTGAGAAATGCTGGGTTCAGCGAGCCTCCCACTGAAGGGCTGATCGCGAAGGCGGGCACAGCACACCTGCAACGCCCCGCACGCCTGCAGCGGTGCCCCAGCTCAGTGTAGTATGGAGCCCTTTCTTTCAAGAGTCACCTTGTAAGAGCGATGTTCTAAGGACACTGATGCAGAGATTTTGTGAGCTCAAATGACATAACATGAAAAGCAGGTAGGATCTGCACATACAGGTAAAAGAACCCAGGTAAGCACTTCCCAGACAGAGGAAGCAAGATGAGGCCAGGTCAGGAAGTAAAGACGCCAGGAGCACCTCGCGGGCCCAAAGGGAGACGGTAGGGGAAATAGAGAAAAGGACCAAAGTCAATATCAACAGCTCCTGAAAAATGACTACCCTACTGCTCTAACCAGGATTCACGGTGCACCAAGCGCTGTGCTCAGCACCGGGGAGGCAGGGTAGGTGAGAGACTTGCAGGCCCTGCCTCCAGGGAGAGTCTGACAGAGGCAGCAACTCGGACGAGTAACGCACTTGTGGGTGTGGTGCCCAAGGGGCAGTGCAGGGAGACCCCCCGGAAGGGATGGGACAGCAGACAGGGCCCCGACAGGGCTGCACAGCCATTTCGCGAGTGCCTCGTCCAGTCCCACCCTCTCCAAAGACCACAGGGCGGTGTCTTGCCAGAAACGGGTCTCCTGGTCTTTCTTGCCTCAATCTGCTGTCCCTTCTGGTTGCACCAGACCCCTGGGGAAAAAAGACCACCACCAGTGCACTTGTGATTCTCCCCGGCCAGGCCCACCCCCAGGGCGCGGCATGCAGCCCAGGTCGGCGACCCGAGCCCCGCTTCACTGCCCCGGCACCCCTGCAGCCCACCGTCAGGCCCCCCCACCACGCTGACCTCCTGGGCAATGTGCTTGCACAGAAAGTCCTGAGAGTGGAAGGGACTGCCCCTGCCTACAGCCCCCACCGCCTTCGGAGGAGGGTGCACCCTATTAGAGGAAGCCTGTCTGTCTCACGCAGCTCCCTGGTGGTTTGGGGATGCCAAGGTGGACCCCGCGCACGGTTTGGCAGCAGGAGCTAGAAAGAGCCCAAGGGCCTGCCTGAGGGCACGAAGGAAGCGTCTGTCCCACCGAGTGGTGCCTCCTGGAGAAGCAGGGGCACCCGCCGCAGGGGGACCAGGAGCCTCCTGGGGGAGGTGCTGAACCCCCCAACAAGCGCGCTCATGGGCTTCCAGTCACTGCCAGCCCGCCGGCAGCAGGAAGCTCTCTGACACGTAGACTGGAAGAGTAATTCACCAGGAATTTATTTCACACTTTTTTTTCCTTTAAGGGAGTGCCTTTTCCAACAACAGAAGACAGACCTCAATCACACAGAATGAATAGATAAAAGTGGGTGGTCTTACAGTTGACAGAAATGGTGAGCCCCTAAATGCCCACCCTGTCCCACTGCACGACCCTAGGAATCTGCAGAGGGTAGTGTAGAAACCACCCGTCGATGAGCTCACGGGGCGGGAGCCAGCTCTGAGGGCTACGAGCCCCTCGGG